AAACATCCCTGCGTAACTACATGGGAGCCATGGAGTTTTCGAAACGGGCCGAGCAGGGTTTTACCCCGCGCGGTGCCCCGTGGGGAGCCCTGGGGTGGGAGCGGCCGGAGGCGTGCAGGGCGCAGAGCGCAGCGCTGGTCCCTGCTCACCGGCTCGCCTTGAGGGTGGCTGGGTGGAAGAGCAGCGCTGTCTTCCTCCTTGTGCAGTGACTTCTGCGACTCAGGCCTCGCGGAGCGCAGGGACAAGTGCAGTGGCGGTGCCCCCGAAGCAGCCTGCGGCCTGCGGGAGTGGGACCTCGCACAGCCCGCGCTGCCTGCGGGGAGCCTGGGCTCTGCTCCCTCCCTCTCACCGCCCTGCACGCCGCCTGCCACAGCCCCCGGAGAGGGCGGCGGTGGGCGCTACGCTGCACTTCACCCGTGTGCGGGTGTGCGGTAGCTAATAACGAGATGCGCTGGGGAGTTTACATAGACGTGCGTGTGTACGGCCTTCTGATAATCCTGATGCTCTTTCCTCCCAATCTCTCTCCCCTTCTCCGGTGCCCTTCCCCGTCTCTGAGAAGACCACGGCCTGTTTCCTCCATGTCTGCTCTTTGGACTCTCATCTCCTTATAGTTTGGGTTTCTCCTGTAAGAGGAACCATGCTATAATTAACCTTCGTGTCCCACTTACCCAGCATCATGGCCTCAAGTTCCAACCATTTTCTTACAAATCACTCAAGTTTATTCATAACGGCTGAATAATACTCCGCTCTGTAACTGCACCATTTTCTATGTCCATTAATCTATTGTTAGTTGTCTAGGTCTTGCAATAATATGGTGTGTGTGTGTGTGTGTGTGTGTGTGTGTGTGTGTGTAGCATGTTATATGTCATTTCAAAGGAGTACTGGAGCACAGAACTGTTGCCTGAACATATTCTAGCCAAGTCTTTGTAAACACACATGTAATTAGAGTCCAAGTAAGTCTATATGTCAGCACTTTTTATCTTACATTGTTTCATATTTATACTGAATTAAGGAAAATTAAATTTTTACTAATGAAGAATCAAAGCAATATCTTTTTTCAAAAAAATAAACCTTTGATTCTAATGACCAGGCAGCAAATAAAAGAAAATTCCACCATAAATTACAATTAAAATTACATCTTAAATATTGGCATAAGTACAATGGTCTTATTTTTTCCTTCCAAGTAAGAGTTTAGAGTCTGGAAGACAGTCAAATGCTTTGTAGGCTGTTGTTACTGAACATAGTTCTGTTCATAATTCCTAAGTTCTTACAGTGTTGGTTTAAATAACCCAATGTATAGTATCAGTGAATCTTTGCTTTGAAGGCTTCAATAGTATTTTAAGAAAAAGAAATTTGTGATCTTATGTGAGAATCCCCGTGCCAGGATGCACACCGTCCATGCAGCTTCTAGTTTTACCAGCTTCTAGACTTTATGCAATCAAAGACGAAGGGTGACAGAGAGCAAACATTTTGGAGAAATCTGCTACATAAACAGATCAGAAGTTCTATTTAAAAGTGAGCTCTGGAGTCCAACAACTTAACGGTACTTTTGTACCTCTGCACAACATTTACCTGTGAATTGAAAAATTAATTCTCAAGTTGGGTGTGGTGGTGCACCTCTGTAATTCCAGCACTTGGGAGGCTGAGGCAGAAGGGTCGCTACAAGTTCATGGCCATCCTGCGCTACATAGTGAGTTCAAGGCCGGCCTAAATTACATACTGAGACATTTTCTTAAAAAAAGTCAGTTCTCTGAAGTCGATAGTTTGTTTCACTAAGTAGGATGATACAACCCAATGTGTATTTATATGACTTGTAGTTAATGAATGAAAATGTACAATAAATAGTCAAAACATCATTTAAAACTTGCATTCCTTTGCAAAGAGGGAGGAAATGTGCAATTGGTATTTTAGTGTCAAATCCATAGTACAGAATTAGAGTTGAAACTTTGAATCTGAACTAAGTCTATAAACAAGGACACAGCAGGTGCTGACGCGGATCTCACCCACTGCGTGTTCCTTGGTGAGGCTGTATTTCCCTGTGGTGTCCTGTGGAGACAGAGCTGTGGTCTGGACTTAGAGGAGGGCACCTGGGTCCCAGCCTCAGTGCTGTCTGCTCCGTGCTGACATAGAAAATGTCTCCGAGATTTCACAGAGGGCCAGGTTACTTTCACATTTTGTCATTCTTAGACAATGCCTTCAGTTTCGAGCCACCATGAATAGTAAGAAACCCAATTTGGGGAACATCACATAACTCATAATTTCACTCGATCACCCAATATACTGGTCTGAAGTACATACCCGGATCTTGTGATGGCCTTTGCACTCTTTCATGCTCATTTATGTAACTGGAGTGAGTTCAGTGTTTTCCTTTGATTTTTCCTATAGGATCAATACCAGTAAAAAATGTAGTTCTGAACAAAGCTATAAATATTTGCCCTAAATTTATTTCTGAAATGGGGTACAGTATTATAGCTGATTGTCAAAAACGGGGACAACAGAATTTGACATATGGAAATGACCCAGAGAAATACTAGTCTCCGCTGGGAGATGGAGTAGAGTAAGTCAAGGGTTAAACCAACCGCCAGGTGATGAGTACGGATTTGTTAGTCTTCTGTCCGGTGATGGGAAGTTGCCCTGTGCAAAACCACTGCCACCTTCAAGAACCAAGTGTAAACAGCATTGTCACTTTACAAGATAAAAACTTTTGAAAACTCATTACGCAGTGTAAATATAATTAACTTTACTGAATTGCACACTTAACCCGGTTAAAATGCTAAATTTTATTTTGCATGTATTTCACTATAATTTAAAATAGCAATAAACCAAAACGTGAGAAAAAAGTGAGTTGATATCTTTAGTCTGTGTAAGCAAGAACTCCATAACTTCAAGATGTTATTTTCAAAGGAAAGAAAAAAGAATACCCCACCCAGTATTTTTCTACTAATTATTACAAACAAACTCCATAAATTCAAGGTTTTACCTTTAAAGTAAAGCAGAGTGCCTAGTCCAGGACTTTTCTACCCTCTGTTAAGAACAAATAAACAAAAATAAAAATTAGATTTTTTAAAAAAATTTTTCACATTTCCTGCCGGATGCATACCTTCCTTTGGATTTTCAAGACTCTGGGTTCTTAACTGGCTCTGGTCTATTGATCAGGTCATGACTCATTTTTATGCATCTGTTTACTAACTTGCATTACTTACTTGTTTTAAATTGTGTATTAATCACCTGAAAATAATGCAGGCATGAGACCCTGGCCTGTTCTCTCTCGGGCATCAGGAGGGGGAAGATTGTGTCAAAAGCCCAAAATCAAAAAAAAATAAAATGAAACAAAAAAGCACACTGTTCAGAATAAAATAAGTGGCAAATACCATTTCTGTTCATCAACTTACCCCTTTCCCACCTTGAATGACTTTTTCCTGAACTGATCTGCATGTAGCTCTGAAACATGCCTACCCTGTTTTAGGTGTTTTCACTTCATTCTAAGGGTTCGCGGTATTTGTAATTTGGAGAGTTCTGTGCTGTTTTGCTTCACCTAATAATGGAATACTAAGATGACCCTTCAGTGCTGTGATTCCTTGATATTTGGCAACTGGCTCCTATTTACAGTTACACAAAGGTGCAGCTACACTTCTGGACAGATGAGTAACCTCAAGGCAGGGTGGTGAACTCACTCATCACCGTGTGCCCTGCCTGTTGCAGCTTGGGTGGTATCTGGACGCTGCTGTTTTCTCCAAATCAACAAGCTTGCTTCCATAAAAAACCGCTGTCCTCTGCCCTGTGCTCTGAGATCAGCTCAGCCCTGATACTCCACCCTTCATTGCGTTTGTCTGTGAGAGGGGTGTGTTGCACTGTAACCTCTATTCTTCATGCAAAGACATAAAAGCCCAGGATTTCACCATAAAGATAATATCATGTTAACTGCGCCTTCTAAACCCTGTGTTCATTTTAACAAGTCTCACAGTGTGTCGCCCCAGGGTAGCTTTTTCTTCACCCATTAAAACGTTTTCTGCTCACGTTGGTGACACTTGTAATAAAGGTCTGCCCGGACTGTGGAGGACGTGTTGTAAGCCAACCAGAGCTGGCTGTGCCTGACTCTTACTGCCGACGGCTTACAGAGCCTTCCTTGCTCTGAGCTAATGGACTAAGGACTGATTGAACCTTTCTTTGCAAAAGCTTCCTGCCAGAATTCCGAAACTGTAAAAACAAATGAAAACAACAACCAAACCTTTCTGATAAATTCAACATTGTGAAGCATAATTAAAAACTACCAACCAAGGTGGTCGCGGTGTTTGACCTTAACCATTTGTCCCTGTAACATTTACTGTACAGTGGCTTGTGGCCCACATAGAAGGCAGAATCTGGTCAGGTTGCAGCTGTTACATGAGTTGCTTTAGGGCAGCTGACCTGCCATTTCACGTGGAACTCAGTTTTCTGACCTGAAAACGAGGAGAATAGGGTTATCTCACAGGTCATTGTGGAATTTAAAGAAGATAATGTTTCTAAACTATTTAATGTGGTGATAGGCGTGCCTGCCTCCAGGCTTGTGAAATACTCTCAGCAAGTTTAGGTGGGTCCTGGCAGAGAGTGACAACTCGTGTGTGTGCAGTGTTTCTAGGCCTCATCGTGGGGCCTGTGGGCCCCATTCTGTAGGAGCACACACAACAGCGTCCATATAGCCTGTCCCGAGACAAACGCACTCTGTACTTCTGTTGACAGCACCAGAGGAATGTAGGGCCCTCTGAATGTGTTCTTCCGTCACGGAGAAATGAGACTTTATGAATGAAAATGATGCTGCTCCTAAGCTATCTTCCTTCAGAAACTTTTCAGGTTGGCTTTAGGAAATAGGTAAATTTGAGGATTCTCACATGACCCTAGATGAGATTCATATGCATTCTTCAGTGCAATGGATCCAGCCCCTTTTCTGGTCAGAGCTGTGGAGTGTCAGGGTGTTGCGGTATTCATATTTATGTTCTAACACACTTCTAAATGCTTTACAGATCCACTGGCCTGCTGCAAAAGAACGAGTGGAATTATGTAAATTAGCTGGGAAAGATGCCAATGTAAGTATAAAACTTTAGAATTGCACTTGGTCAACCTCTTTGATATGAGAGTAAATATTTATGCTCACTTTTATTGAATTAATGACATTAGTGTATTATTTTTAAGACTAACAGTCTGTAAATGGTTTATATATTTCTACTTTGCCAAAAGCACTGGTACTATTCCCCAAAATCTAGAAATTTCAACAAAACTATGCTTTGTAATATATTAATTCTGAATATTATTATTTATAAAAGAAACATATTAAAATATTTAAAAGTACACCATCAGGAAGTACATTACAAAGGATGTTTTGCGTTAATGTACATGTGCATTGTAAGAGTACACAAAACCATTCCAAGCACACAGTTGATGTTTCACTTCGCATTTACAACATGTGAAAGACTGTGTGTGTGTGTGCGTGTGTGTGCGTGTGTGTGTGTGTGTGTGTGTGTGTGTGTGTGTGTGTGTGTGTGTCTTCTCATGAGCAGCTGGAAGCGCCCTCCACCAGGCCTCAAGGCAGGGGACTTGGCTGCAGCCCTCCTGCCCGGCTGCTTCTGTGGGCCAAGAGTCTGCATCCTGCCTGGTCTGCACCGCCGGCTACCCACCAAGTGACTGAAGCGTGCTGCACCCCCGCTGTCCTCTCCCCTGTGCTCTGAGATCAGCTCAGCCTCAATGCTGGGCTCTGGCCTGACCTCGGCACTGTGTTGATGGGGAGACACACCACATGCAAATGTGGCTAAATATGTGAAGAGGTTGGGAGCCTGGGCAGAAATAAGGGCATCCTGAGGCTCGTTGGCAGTGTCCTCTAAAGCTTCCTGAACCCACCATAGCACAGGGGTGTTGAGCTGAGCCCTGTTTTCACATTTAACGATAACCACGTATGAAAAGATAATTAGATTACAGTTACTCCTGTCATGGGACCAGAGTATAACAAGTGGCACTTAATAAGCTAACAAGAAGGTCAAAGCGACAGGAATCTAGTACATGTTATTTTATTCACTATTCATTTAGTTATTAAAAAGATTTTATTTTATATTCATTTTGCAAAACAAATTTTTTTTTTAATTTTTTATTTTAAAGAGAGTTGTAAAAAAAACAATAGCAAAATGCCAACAACATGTGCACAGGTGTTTATGTGAGACAAACACGGCATCTGTCTTCATGGACCTCGCATGGAATGGAGCATAAAGGCCCAAGTGGTGACCTGCACATGGAACAGTGCTGGGAGACAGAGCACTCAAACCCAAACACAGTAACCGGTGGTTACACCTTAGTTCATATTCGGCTACTATTAAATGTGACCCTATAGTCCCATTTGCACTTACAGAGATCTACCAGGAAGAGTGAATGTCAACTGCAGTGAGAGACAGTTTGCCCATTCATTTCCTTGTAAAGAGAGTGATTCAGCTCTTCGAGAATAGATCATTCTTCTTCCTGTGACTTTAATAACTTCATCCTGTTATTAAGTCTCAGCCATGAGCTAGAAGGCTGGTCTACAACAGCATCAAGTCTTCATTGAATGTGTGAGGCTTTGGTTATGAGTTTTCAACTTTATTTTGTCCAGTGAGCCGCAGAGCATGGCATAACCAGTGTGCATATTTTATATTTTGTGTCTCACTGGTATTGTTGGCTGAAGAGGCCAGTAGGGAAAGGGTGTTTTCATTTAATCCAATAAGCTAATGTCAGTTTTCCCATGGTTAGTTGAGGGGTAAACACTAGAGGTCAGTCAGTGAAGGTTTAATTTGTGACGGTGTCGTTGTTTCGCACGTGCACTAAATGCGGTTACACAGTAACTGAACTGCCCCTCCCACTAAATTAGAGCAAAAGCCGAGGAGCACTTGCTCGTGGTAGTACCCTTGGGCAGCTCGGGTTCCGTCAGACCCTGCGCAGTTCCGCTCTGTTTGTGAACGAGCAATAAGCACATCTACTACCAACCCAAGACTAGAGACAGGAGGAGTTTTCCTTTTTCACTAAAATCTGTAAAGTGTGATGCTGAATCATGAAGATACAAGTCTACTTTGTCACTTTAAAATTGCACTCTATTTTAGAGCTTCCGGTGACAGCCGACAGTTTGGTAGCACTGACCATCCTTAGAAAGCGTTTTCAGCACCTCGTATGTGTAATCTCTTTCAGTCCTTACAGCAGCACGCTATGCTGTGTTTTTTTATGACAATTCCCTGTCCTCTGGGTAACAGATACAAAAGCCAGAAAATTAAATGACTTGCCTAATATCTCACACCTGGTAAAGAGTGAAGCTGGGAACTGAAACCAGAAGTCTGGGCACACAAGCTATGATCCTGCGTAGCACCATAAACCTCACACATGAGGTCTACAGGCCACATGTCTCAGTCATTTCTCTTTTCAATATCACCTAACATAGATTCTCATTTTGAACAGCACTGTGTAGAATTCAGCCAATAGGAAACAGAGACAAATCTGTGGTTGTCCTCTTTTATTGCCTTTGGCTTTCTCTCTCTCCTCCCTACTTTCTAGTAATTTTTACCTATTTCCCAAGAGTGTGTTTAGGATTAACAAGTGTTTGGAAAAACTGTCCCTTCAGAAAAAAGGTACAACCACAAAAGAGTGAATTATTTACCAAAATGAAAGCTAGCTGGTTAGAGTACAGGACTGGAGAGAATATTCCACTTTCTTGAGCAGAGTCCCACAGTGTAACTGAGGGAAGGGGAGGGATGAGAGGACAGTGTTGGGTCACGTGTCCTTATGCTTAGAAGGTTGTTCAAAGCAGAGTCAGTAAAGATATCCTCTGTCTTGATTACAGGGCAACAGCTCAGTACAGGTAGAGACAGCAGGGGTGCGGGGAGCAGACACATCACACAGGGTCTTCCTGCTCCAAAATCCTATGATTGTTTTCTTTCTTATAACATTTTAAGGAAGTCTAAAACCTAGTATTGTAGAAAATTTGTAAATTTTGAAGAAAAAAACCCCAGAGTCACTCACTGGTAAATACGTCCTCCCCAACACACCCTACCCTGAGGCACTGGTGACACTGTGATGTTTATTCTTCTACCTTACCCATTTCTGGTTTTCAGAATAAAATCATGGTGTACATAATCCTCCAGCACATTTATTTTACTTTGTAGATTGTTAGGAGACTTTCCCCATGTCATGAAATCCCCTGCTCTAAGCAGCTCTCCATAACCACACTGCCTTCCTTTATGCGCGGCCTCACAGCTGCTCCTGCCAGCCACGGGTGCCCCAGCCTTTGCTCTCGCCCCTGACCCTGCCCATAGAAACCTCGTGTCTCAGTGTTCTGAAGGTCTTTGTCTGCTGAGCAGGCTTCCGCTGGTTAAGGATGGATAATCTTTACACACGTTGCTCAGTGGCCCTCCAGAAACTGTGCGGCACAACTTCCAGCCGGCAGTGGATGAGTACGAAGGTGTGGTCTCCCAGACCCTGCTAACACTGGACACAGCGCACAGGCATGTTTATTATGAATGCATAGCGGTGAGGACAATAATTTAATCTGCCAACAAATGAAAATACGTTTTTGCTGTTCAGCTTGAAAGTCCTTCGCTATAAATACTAAATATTGCATACAATTGTAAATACCAATTGCATACAATTGTAAATTTTAATGGTGTATCATTGCACTTGGTTTATTTTTATTCTGGTGCTTGCTTTTTCTTATTGCTACCTTTAGTTTTATAAAATATACATATATTTGTATATTTTATGCTGGGTTCTATGTGTATACTGAAATAACACATATGCGACTATTATAAAATATTTTGTTTTGCTGTATTGCATTAGTGAGAAAAGCATTCTACATCAGTTACCTTATTTTAGATACAGACTTTAAAATATTTAAATAGGAATGTCTCTTAAATTTGTCCTTTGCTCTTTTATCACAACCAGTTGTTGTGCTGTAGAAACCTATACTGTTAGATCATCCCTTTTTTTTCGCTTTTTAGATTTTTTTTTTTGTTTTTTTTGTCTTTCTGAGACAGGATTTCACTATGTAGCCCAAGCTGGCCTTGAACTTGAAGTGTCCTCCTGTCTCAGCCTCCCAAGTGCTAGGATTATAGACATGCACCTATGCCTGGTTAGATTGTCCTTTTTAAGATAAATCTGATATTTAGATTTTTACATATTCACTTTGAATTGTTAGCAATTTATTAAAATATGGTAGACATCCTAGGGCCTAAGTGGCTGTTCTCCATGCAGGATTCTGTCTGAGAATTGCATGTGGTTAATGATCAGAAAAGTTTGATGATCATCACAAATTTTGCAAAACATATTAAAGATAAATACAGATCTCAGGGAGCTGGAGGCGTGGCTTAGCGGTGCCACTTGCCTAGCACAGAAGTCCCTGGGTGCCAACGCCAGTGCTACGAGAACTGTTGTCTCGTAGTTAGCCTACATAAATTCAAATTAGCAGTTGTAGCTCCAATAGCAGAATTATGCAGAAAGCTAGGAGATGGGCTCTGTAAATCCTGAGCACAGCACGTACTTCTGGCTGGCTGGCATCTCCCCAGCTACCTGGAGAGAAAGTGACATTCTAAAAGAACGTGAATAGACGAGTAGTAATCTTTCTCCAAATATTAATTCGTCTTCATTTAACTATTTATTCATATGCGGGTGCATGTGCAATCAATTACTGAAAATCTGCTGTGACTGAAGAGAATTAGAAGCTGGCGCCTTGATTTTGGAAGCCTCCCTCTGTCCCTCTAGGAAGGCTAGGGAAGAAGAGGGCAACGCAGCGTTCCCCAGGTCCAGTGTCGTACTTGCTGCATCCTCCGGTTCCATGCAGCAGTGCCACTGTGGGAAACAGCTGAGGAAGTAGCCACCTTTCAGGGAAAGGGAAAAGCTGCTTCTCAAAGCGTTTCTCCTGCCCCAGGGAATGACGTACCATTAATGGGCAGCCACTAAGTGAAAAAAATCAGGTTAATTATTCATCAAGGTGTTTAAGAGAAACTAGGAAACCTTGTGTATACAAAGGAAACAGCACCTAATCTCTGAGATTTACAGTAATGAAGTTCTGAATTAAAAGGGGAGTCATTGTAGTAGGTTGTTCTGCTGAAACCTCTGCTCCGGGCACAGTTAAAGTGCGAGATCTTATCTTGCCCTGCAGCCAGGCCTGTCCCCTTCACTGACAAAGCTCACTGACTCCATTCTCTTTTTTGTATTCTGTGCTAGATAATTCAGCATACTTTGTCCCACTCCGGGCCAGCCCGATGCGAGGGAGGACAGGGTTTCAGGGATCAAGCCCAGGGCAGGGACATGACTGTAGGGCTGGCTGCATTTTGCTAAATGCTTCTAGACAGGTTAAGTGGTGGTGCACATGGGAGGCTGAGGCAGGAGGATCGCTGCCAGTTCAAGGCCAGCCTGGGCTACATAGTTTCAGGCCAGCCTGAACTACACGGTGAGGCCCGGTCTCAAAACCAAACTAAATCAAACAAAACAAAGCAAGATGTGCTTTGGTGTGAGACAGGGCTTTTTGTTTTATGATGCCTGCAATTCCTGCCATGTGTAAGACTTCATGGCTGGCCTTATTTGCCTTCTAATAATACAACATTACCTCTGAGACACCATCACTTTTCTGATTTCATAATGTACAGTGCGAGAATTTTTATACAGATTTTTTTTTTCAGAGCCTTGTATAGTTAATTACCCTGTAAATTCTGTGTTTGGTAAAAGTGAACTTTAAAAATCTGAAGTGACACAGCGGAGAGTAGACCCCGCTGCGGTGCTGCTCGGCCCTGCCTGTCCCTGAGGCCTGCTCAGCTTTGCTGCAGGTCCCCATCCAGGCAGAGGAGCAGCAGCCCTCCCACGGGTTGAGGAGTGTGCTGAGGGACTCAGCCCCTCTGCCCCGGCTCCCGCAGCCGGCTTTCCTCACAGTGCCCTGTGCATCGTCAGACCCCAGGTGGGCATCGTTCTTCCTGCCCTCGGTGCCCACTGATTCCCACCGTGCTGGCCTCATATCAGAAGAGCGCGTTCCTCCCTGACAGTGATGCCTCCAGCAGGATGGACAGAGGAGTGTGATATGTGAAGCCGGATGACTTAGCAGAAAGCTGACTGTAAAATTTTCTTCCATAAGAATCTACATATAGTAAGCATATGAACACATATCTAAACACATGAAGGCATGAATACATGGAGAGAAGAAAGTCACATGCCTTGGACCGTGACATTGGCACGACACAGCCCTGGGGACTGGGTTGGGGCCCTTCGCTGTGCAGTGAGCAACCTGGGCAACTGTCCATAGAGCCCTGCATCTCCCCTTCTGGAGAGGAGACCCCGTCGCCCACCCGCGGACCACCTGGGAACAGTACCATGGGTCCTAGACAGTGAAACCGCCTTTCTCAGGGAGCAGAGGGCAGAAGACCCACCGAGCAGCCTGCTGCTCTTGTCTCATGGGATCGGATGGCTCTGGTTAGGAGCTACAGATTCTTGAGGTATAAAATCGCAGGTCGGCAGTGTGAGGGCCGCGCTAGGACCTGGATCTCTGGCAGATTTGCAGATAGCTGTTCACTTAAAATTGAGTGGCTTCTGGGCTACTGATATTTTACAGGTTGGGTGAGGATAAGGGATCATCATTCAGTGTCACGTGGCTTTGTTTCATCTGGGTGACAATCAGAGCAGTGCCCAGTTGCCTCGACCTAGGTGAAGGTACGGAATCAGTAGGTGAACTGATCTTGATCCTCAGTGCCAAGAACAAGGGCTCTGGAAAACAGAGAGCTGCTGTTTGCTAATAAATAGGGATAGAAAGCAGTTCAATTCTGAGGATAACAGCCTTGTACAGAAATAGTACACAGGAAGAAGATATACAAGAGCCTTTCCCAACTTGACAGGGTGTAGGAAAATTCTACAGGGTATTGGAGAACAGAAGAGACTCTGAGAATCAGCAGGAGACTATTTTTCCTTAAAGGCCCCTTAGCATCTGAAGCTAAACAGAAGCCCATGGTGGACATTTCCAGCAGTAAGAAAGGGCCATGGTTGTAGGGTTGCAGGCGTGCACATCTGGTCCAGCGCCTTGTTCGCTGTGAGGGGCAGACGGCGTGTGGAACAGCAGGCACTGTGTGGGGAGGTTATGGGGTGAGGGGAGCACAGGGGGCTTTGTGCTCCGCGCACCCTGAGGGGAGGACGGGTTCAGCGCTCTCCCTGCAGGAAGGGCGCCGCGGAGCTCTGACCTAACACTTGCACTAGGTCCAGCCTCGGATTTCTCAGAGCTGGAAAGTGAGTCCTTGGAGCCACAGTTTCTGTATGTGTCTTGCCTTTTTAGTTAAGTCGGACGATTAAACTTTTCTCATAATTCCTTTTCATTTCTTCTTAGTTTCGATTGTTTATCTACTTGAAAAACTGATGGTATGAATGCTAATCCTTCAGAAACCCAAGTCATGTGCTAATGCTTTGAATGTTTGTGCCCCATAGACAGAATGTGCAAATTTCATCAGAGTGCTTCAGCCCTACAACAAAACCCATGTCTACGTGTGTGGAACCGGAGCTTTTCACCCAATGTGTGGATACATTGACCTTGGGCTCTACAAGGAGGTAATTACAAAGAGCTGCTGTGGAAAACACAACCTATGTAATACTTTGTTATCTAATGTCTGTAACACAAAACAGGCATTTGAATATAAGAACTACAACAGAGTTTATGAACTGCGTAAGGATTCATGTTCTTAACCATTTTGTGGACTATCGTTTTCGGGACATATTTTACTCACCTAATAAATTTTCCTATTAAGAGTTGTTTTTATTGAGCCAATCAACACTAATAGTATGAAATGTGAAAAGTGCTTGTTTTCTATGGGTTCTGCGTATATCTCAGGATAATTCCCTTGAGTGTTCTTTGTAACTAAATATATGTAGTGCTGCTATTGGTAAAAATCCATTTCCCATTAGATTTTGCAATGGAATTGCATCATAAATAATGTTACTTTTCCATGCACCAAGTTGGCCTGCTATGTGGGTTTATGAGCATAGACACTCGGGAAAGAGAGTGCTCCTGATTTTCTTAAACTTACATAGATAGTCACTGTCACACTGAACTCAGTGTTTCTGCCAGACCAGATTAACATAGTGGAAATAAAGGATGTGTTAATCAACATTAGTTCATTCCCGAGATCACTAAGCATCTTGGGATATGAGAAACAGGGATATTTAAGAAATTTGAAACAACGAACACTTCAGAGTACTCTGTGCCAGAGGCTGCGCTGCACACTACCTGGATTGTTCCCTTGGAATTCCACAGACTCTTAATAAAGTTAGTTCCATTATTGTTCCTGAAATACGGGCTAGAAAATTTCAAGTCCCAGTGGGAAAAATTTGCATTTCCAAGTTCACCAGACTAGCAAATGACCTAGCCCACTGGACATAGGATCCTAGTTCTAGTGCAAGCGTGCCCAGTGAGACACGCTGCAGACATCAGTGTTCCTTTGTGGGTGCCGTGGTCCTGAATTTATGTATCTAGACTTGTGCTCCTTTGAGCAACCCACATACTGCAGCATGCTTGACTGCACTTGCAGTCACGCCTCATGTAGGGAACCAGTCCCTGCCATTTCTGCAGAGATCAGACCCACGACTGTGGCTACATAGGTCTTTCTCCCTCCCCAACCTGCCTAACCCATCCAGACTAAAATGTTTGAAAACCAAGCAGCCCTGATAGTTAAATCTCTGAACCACTGGGAGACTTGGCAGCCCGATCCGTCATTCTTTGTTGCTGGTGTAATGTTCTCCCTGAGCTTTGATGAGGGTTGATATATAATAGTAGCTTCCCTCACAGGGTGTAATTATGAGAGATAGGCACCCCCCCCCCCAGGGGTGTGCGGCGGCCCCAGGCTAAAGGCCAAGCTCACAACCTGCCTGGGGAAACAAAGAGCGGTCCTCTAACTCCCTGAGTGCTGAAAGGGAATTTAGATGGCGCTAATTGCTTGGCTTAGACTGTCAAGAAGCCCGAGGCAGTCAGAGTTAAAAGTTTCCTGCAGAAGAGAATTATGAGAGGGTTGGGATTCTGAGCAGGGTGCGTTTTCCGCTGTCAGGAGCACAGGTAACTGAGTGGCAGATCCGCAGCAAGATGGTTAACCTTTACAGTGAACCAGTAGTTCCCAGAGATCTTCTCCAGAGTTTAGGTCGCCACGGTTCATGGGGTGGGCGGCAGGCTCTGTCAGGACTGCTGCTGGTCGGGGAGAGAGAGAGCCCAGATGAGCCCGAGAGCGGGCGGGGTGCGGCAGTGCCTGGCTTTATTGAGGAGGAGCGGTGACCTTGTGGGGTAGGATGAGTTGGTGACTCTGCCTTGTGCATCAGAGACACGCTCAGAAGCTTACCCCAAGGGACCACTGGATCCAGAATTCGAAAGAGAAATCAAGGCAGCCATAAACAGCTTGAGCCTGAGTTTGAAAAGAGATTCCAGTCATTTACCAACTGATGGCCTCATGAACACTGCAGATTTACTGCCACTTTGATCATTCGGTAAAATGACTATCCAATAGCAACCACGTCCCGGAGCTATGCTGAGTATAAGATGAGATGATTGTATACACTTGGGCATAAGACTTGCTCTATTCCAGATACCAATATTCACGAGTCAGTAGGCAACAGAAACAGAAACTAAGGAGGCCTACATTTCAACATCTCTCTCTCTCTCTCTCTCTCTCTCACACACACACACACACACACACACACACACACACACACACACGATCACAAAAAGGAATACTGAAGTCCTGCAGTACGAAGAGTGCCCAACAGCTGTTCAGTCGTGGCCCTGGCGGTGGAAGGAGCGTCGTCTTTCCTGCGAGGTCTCCCCTCTGGGGTGGCTCACCTTGTGGGCAAGTGGGGATGACACTGACAGTGACTCTGCCTCCTGTTGGTGGTTGTTTTCTTACTTTCTCATCTTCTGACTCTTCACCTCTCCAGTAACATTCCAGTTTGTGCAGCTCAGCCAAGTGCCTTTTGCATCATTAATCAGTTTCAAGGGGGAAAAATCTTGTGAAATCCAAGTCTCAAGACGCTGAGGGCTGTGCAGTCCCTTATCTCCGATGCATGCTGAGTCGTCCCTTGCTTTTGACCACACTTGCTGTCGGCGTCCATGGGGGGCTTGGGAGCAGGTTTTCTTGGTATCCTCTCTCTCAAGGGGACTGTGAGAGACAAGTGTGCTCACTGTCCACAAATAGCAATTTTATGGGCTTCTCTCAAGAATTTAAAAACAAAAGTCCGCACCGGTGAAGAGGCCGTTTGGTGTCTTGCATACGCTGTGCGGTCCACGCAGACATTGTCTAGCTTTCCAGTGTAATCTTCAGAGATACTGGCTTTCAGTTCACTTTTCCCTTTACAGTATCCCATTATAGACTTCAGGGTCAGCACATCGGTTTAACTTGTGGAAAAGAGTGTCCCCTCAATGATCCACAAATAGGCTTAGGATCCACTGTCTACCGGTGTTTTCTCAGCCTGTCTGGACCGCAGTTGAGAAGTAGTCATGCTGTAGCAGCTCTCAGACTGAGGCTCTGGATCACTTTTATTAGCTGTTCAAACCAAGGGCACTGGATTCCATCATGTTACATGGTCACAGGCCATCTATAAATTGGCTTCAATACATTTTTAAATCCATGCGTTTGAAATTCTGAGACCAAATTAGTTAAGAGCATTAAATTGGAGGTAGTCTGCATTCAGCCTCCCGATTTGTCACTTATGTGCCACTGATCCAGGTATGGAGCCTTCTCTGCTCCCAGTGTCACACTCACAGAGCTGGGATTCTTAGCATAGCTACACTGTTAGGCTCCTGGTGAGAATTCAATGGAATGAGCTGTGGAGAGTCAGCAGATTTGAGGTAGTTCCTTCTAACTATTGGGTGACATTATTCCTGGTAGTAAAGTATATTATGAAAATTATGGGCTATCCCTCCTTAATCCAGCTATTTGAATTGTTGTCACTATTTTTTAGAGGCAATACTTACTGTTCAAGAGAACAGAGTAAGATGTCAATGACACCATCATGTAGCAGGTGATCCAAAGACCTCTACAACTTTTGTGTCCTTGCTTGCTTTCTGTGTGAGCAGCGTGGAATGATTCCTTCTCATGAGATGTGTGTGCTGATGGGACTTTGCAGCTACTTTTCCACCAGGAGAGAATTCTGAGACGCTGGCTTCCTCTGAGTGTCCAGGGCGAGCCATCTGCTCTTTTGCTGCGTGGTGGTGTTGCCCTTGTTTCAGAACACCCCGGCTCCTGTCGCTGCATTCATTATGCGTTCATATTTTTCTTGGAAAGTTCAACTTAAGATGTTATTTTTTCCTGAATATTAAAAGTCTGCCAGTATCATTCTGTCTGCGGCCACTATTATACAAATAGATGTTTCAGCCAAAATAACTACGCCTCCTTAATGTGTATGGTGTTTCCTTAATAGCGAAACTGCTACAGCAGAATGCTTTTACTGCTCTGGAAATTAACTGCCTGACTTAGAACACTTTCATGTCAGGAAGATTAACACAAAGCCATGGGGTTTAAGTAGTTTGGCATAGTTGCAAATGTTTAGTTATACAAATCATAATGATTATCCTGAAAGCATAAATATTACAGTAAATGTATTCCTTAGAAGAGGAAGTTGGTTCTGTTAGGCTCCCCAACTTGGCTTCTCAGCGGAGAGGGTACATGTGCGTGTGCTTGCTGGTAACTTGGATGTTGGTGATGGTCCATCACCCCTTGGGAGCCAGGGGACCTGTCCTGGTGGCTGATCCTCACCAGCCGCGGTGGCAGCTGAAGACCTGAGCAGCAGCCTGAGGCTCACCCTGCATGCTCTGCTAGATTTCACTGAATTCTGTGAGTTGGGATGGAGCTCCCACCATCTGTGTTCTTGCAGGTTTTGACAGTATCGAAAATCTCCCTGTGTTAATATTTCTTATGACAGGAAGTCACGTTCAAACTGGACACACATACCCTGGAGTCCGGCAGACTGAAATGTCCTTTCGACCCCCAGCAGGCTTTTGCTTCTGTGATGACAGGTAAGCTCAAGCATGCACAGGCCTTGCTTGTGGGTGACTTTTGGGAACAATGTGTGCAGATGAAACCGCATTTTATTGTGGGGCTGAAGATTACTGTGGATGACTCCTCCCCCGCCCATTGGTGCCAGGAGCGTAAAGCAGGTCTTTGTCTGGTGCGCCCTCCTCAGGGAAGCCTGGCCCAGCCTCAGTCTGCAACCTGCCTCGGACGTGCAGCCCTACCTGGGTTCTTTTTCAAGCAAAGGGCCTGCTGACTCACTTTAGAATTTTGCACTTGACACTGGGATTTTCTTACACTGCACTGTGCTCTTTACCTCAATATGGACATTAAATGTGGCAACCGCATAAGGAAATAAATTAGTAGACAAAGTGAGCAGAGCCGTGGGGTGTGGCTGTTTAAGGTCATGCCTGTTTCCCCAGCTTCATTACATCACTGGGAGTCTGAGATTCTTGCTAGCGCCTCGTCTTCTCGCGCTTGGCACACGTCTTTTCCAAACGTGTACGTGTTGTTTGCGAGTCCGTGTTTGCCGCACCTCACGCTCACGCTCACGCTCACGCATCGCCGGGAGCGGCTGCGCGCACAGGACGATCCACTCCCTTGGTCCCTGCCCCGCCCTCCTCCCTGCTCCCCGACTCTTGTATCCGTTTGCCAAAGCTCTGTTTCCATTTTCTCTTCATTTCTCTTTTTTGAAAATCCCCTGGACATAACTTAAATTCTGATATGAGATAGCTCTTGCGTAAAGGAGGTGGCGATGTGCGCCCTGAAGAATGTCATGAGAATCGTCCCTACTCACAGCCAACCTAAGTGCCCTGTTGTCTCTGCTGGTGACTTTAGTCTCTTTTTACGTGACTTGTTTATCAAATGTTTGAACAGACGCTCAGAGCGAACCACCGTGACATTTTAATCTTCACTTGGCACGAACCAGTGACCTTGCTTTGAAGTGAAAGCATGTGTGTCTCTGCGTGTTTTGAAAATCATACGGCTAATGTTCACTCTTTCTCGGGAAACCAAATAGATGGTTTGTGATTCTCACCTGTCAAGTGGCGTTGACACATTCTGCATAAAAAAAAAAAACACTGGGTTTGGGCTGGGCCTTGGTACACTGCTTAGGAATCCCAAAGTAATTTCAGGTGCAGGGAAGACAGTTAAAAAGTGAATAGTCAGACACAGTTTTTAGTTTGGGACATACCATTTTTTCCTGACAACATATTTGAATATTTGGGATTTTGTTTATTTCAAAATGATGGTTTGCTTCTTTTATTTTTACCAAACTTCCTAAGAATGTTTTTATTGATGATGTTGCTATGTTGCTCAATTTTAAAAATGTATCCCTCAATACAACGTTGCCCTCTGCCCGACATGCTGTGGAGAGGTATCCTGAGAGGGTGGAACCGGTACTGTGTCCTCACCCCTTTCCACAGCCAGACCTCTCCCGCGTGGGTTTTGTTTCCTTGTGAAGTTGCCTGCCATCATTTTCAGGTGGAATTGTCCCCGAAGGTTCAGTGAAAGGCTTATTGAGAGAGATACCTCAGACAATTTAGAAAGTATTTTAATCACTTCTCACGCAAGGCAAAATTAAATATCACGACAGAACAGTATTTTCATTTTCGTATGTAAACATTAAAGAAATGCAGGTGCTCTACAGAGATTACCTTCTTTTCCATTTTTCATTCAGAGCAATCCAAGTGGTGGACCGTAAAATTCTCGGGCAATAGCAGACTTCGTTTTCAGAGGGACGGGGGTTCCACTGCAGGGACAGCAGTCTCCCTGTGCCCCTGCGCCCCTGTGTTCTGCCGGCCCTGGGAGCCCGCCCATCCTCCTCACCTCATCTCCCCTTCAGCCTCCTGCTGCCTTGCTCCCCTCACTCCCTGCCCCTGCTGCCTCTCCTCCGCTTCCCCCTGCCCTTCCTCTTTCCCCGCCTTTCTCCTTCTTCCTCTTCCTCTCCCTAGTGGACCCCAGGCAAGCTCTGTACATAGATCACAGGGCTGAGCAGTTTGGTGTGCAGAGAGGACTCCGTCTTCCCCTGCCCAAGAATGGCTGTGCACCAACTAAGCTCACTCCTTAAACCCTGAAAGTGAAGCTCATGGAGCCGTGCAGTCCTGGGGCACGGGTGGCTTGCTGTGTGGGAAGTGAGCTCAGAAGCCCTGTGTGCCTCCCCCGCAGATGAGTACCTCTACTCGGGAACAGCGTCCGACTTCCTGGGCAAAGACACGGCCTTCACGCGCTCCCTGGGACCCACGCACGACCACCACTATATCAGAACCGACATTTCCGAGCACTACTGGCTCAGCGGTGAGTCGCACCTTCGCTTCTGATTGTTCTGGCATTGCTGTGGGGCAGACAAGAAGCTCACTGTTACTCATTCAGGGGCGTTCTGGGGTGGTCGGCTCAGCACAAAATTATAAAATACATTTAGGGCCGGGGATTTAGCTCAGTGGCACAGCGCCTGCCTGGCAAGCTCTAGGTTGTGAGTTCGATTCCCGGTACCAGGAAAAAATAAAAATAAAAATAAAAATAAAAATAAAATAAAATAAAATACATTTAAAGTCATTTCACATCAAGTTAGACAAAGCAGAAGCCTCTGTGTGTGTAGCGACCACTGATACTCACCGAACGCCCACTGCGTCCCCAGCACCATCCACCCTACCAGGCACCTTTCGTATTTGTGATGACATTTGAGACATGCTGTTGTTTTATAATCTGTGTAAAGGAGAGCAATCTGCTGCTGAGAGAAGGTGACTCATCTGGTCAAGGGTCAACTTGCCAGGCTCGGAGATGCGCTTCACGGCTGTTGTCAGTCTCCTTCAGTGTGTGTTTTAAGGCCTCAGCCAAACGCCGCCCCTCAGCTCAGTGGCAAGGGGGGCCTGCGTGTGATGCTAACTCCGTCCTTGAATACGTTTTTATTTTTAATTGACATGTAATATTGCACATTTTTCTTTAATTGGCACATAATAATTGAACGTATGTGGGGTACAATGTGAAATTGTAATGTATACAACATTGATCAAATCAAGATTGAGTGGGTCAGAGTAATTAGCAGTTCCTTCTTATTTCTTCATGTAGAGGTGTGAGATGATAACCTTTCCTTGCTAAAATTTGTGGTTGGGTGAGGACACACCCCTCCAAATTTTTAAGGATACTGGGACTGACATAGGTCTGTCTACTTACTATTTTATGTAAGAGTCATATTGTAATTTGGATTTTCAAAAAATATAGACCTTTCAATTGATGTAGTTAATTAAACAATGAATGCAACACTTGTTTTTTCACCTCACAGCCTTGCAACAGTCTGACAGCTGACTCCTAAGGGCTGTTTCCCCATCCCAGTGCCATGTAAGCAGGGAGCACACAAACACAAGGAAAAACACTCTTCTAAGACATTTCTTTAGTCAAAACCTCCAGATCCATTTGTTTACACAATGCAATCTCTACATTCACCCAAAAATTGACCCAAAATTTTATGTGTCTTTTTCAGACAGGGTCTCACTATGCAGTTCAGGCTGGCCTCGAGCTCACTTTGTAGCCCAGGCTGGTCTCAAACTCACAAGGATCCTCCTGCCTCAGCTTCCCAAGTGCTGGGATTACAGGTGTGTGCCACCACTCCTGGCCTGACACAAAGTTAATTTTGGTGAAACTTCTTGGTTTGAGAGTAACTCCATAGATTTCACCTCTAGAAAGGTTATTAGATATCCAAATTTTTATGTTTTTTGTATTTGTATTAGTGCCTATCTGCTATACATAACGGTTATGCTTGTTGTGGGGAGCTGTGCGTGTACAGACATCTGTTCAGATGATAATCCATTCTATGACTTTACAGGAAGTATAAGGTGCTGTCTCTGAGTTTGGGAATGAAGTTATCATCTGTCACTGTTCTTTTAGGAGGTTTGAGTTAGTTCCTTAACGTGGACATGTCCACAAATAAGTCAGCAGCTTTTAGACAACATGCGCACAGCAGTTCCCCACCCAGGGTGCTGTTATTGTGGTGCTGATAGAATTAGAGAGAGGGGTCAGTGTCACATTCCCTGCACAAGCAGCTTCCAGGGCTTCTTGCGTGGGGAGCCCTGGGTGATCACGCTCCTGCCCAGGTGGGAGAGGGAAAGAGCCAGGCAGGCTGAGCTCACAGATCCGGACCGCAGGGAAGGCAGGCTGTGGCGTGTCGGTGCTAGCCTCAGTGTGAGCGTGGCTCACTTGTAAATCACGAGGCAGACCACTGTTTTCTCGGGGTGTGGAGTGTAAGGGAGGAGGACGGAGAGCGGAGTCCCTGTGTGAACGTGTGGTGACGAGCAGGGCACCGGACAGAGGCCGGGCCGTGGGGAGGGGCGCAGGCCGCGCTGCCGCACGCATCTGAGAGGGGACTGCTCGTGGCGAGCAGGGAACACCGAGGCCACTGGACAGAGCTCACGGGGAGCAGCCGGGAGGAAGGAGAGTTTAGGAGAAAAGAGAGAGGATGCAGAGATGCCTCCATGTAACTAAATTCAGGCAAATGGCCAACAATGTCAGGAGCACACGGGGCTCCCGGGCCTTTAGGGCAGAGGGCCCCGCGACCACTGCCACGGTGACACAGAGCTTGGTTGGCCCAGGACATGTCCAGGCTCCTTCTGTCTTCCTCCTACTCTCAAATTTCCATTTCATCAAAACCTGCAGCTGCTTCCCGGGCACTTGCGTGTCTGTGTCTGCATCGTGACTGTCACTGCTGTGTGACCCTGGTTAGCCCTTGCTGAGCATTTGGACCCTGACCTTCCCGATAATAACAGCCCTGGACCCAGCGGGGCCTGTCAGAAGGCCCGAGAGCTGGTTCTGTCGCTGTCAGGGCCGTTGCTGCCCTCATTCGCCCCAAGGGAGAGGCAGGAGGTGGTGGGAGACCCGGCTGTGCTGAGGCCCTGGCGTCTGCTCAGCATCTTTATCCACCGCCCACTTCTCCTTCCCCGTGTCCTTGGGAGTTTGGTGACCGACCCTCCTCATCCTGAGGTCCCGTGTTCTAGTGTAGCTTCTATATTTCCAGTCATCTCCTGCGAGGGAATGGCCTTAAAAATCTGTACTATGTCTTCCATCCCATCTCAAGTGAAAAGGCGAAAATGACTGAACTATACAGGGGTGAGGACATCACCGCCTCAGCTTTGATCGCTCCACTTTGGGATCCTGCCAAGTTCTTTAATAACCCTTTGGTTTAATTTGATCTGAAATCTGAAATCCGAGTCTAGATATTTGCAGTCTTTTTCTTCCTTTCTAACCTACCCTCCAGTGCCAGCTTCCTGGTTGCTAGCTTTCTCACGCCCTCCAGCTGGTCACCTTGGGCTTATCTCTGGTTCCCCCTTCTGCCCCTTTATCTAATCTCTCAGGGAGGGTCAGCTTCCTTCTGAGCATCTGCCAGCCTTGCTGCTTCCCGCAGTCCTTGCACCTCCTCCCGGTCACCTCCCGGTCCCCTCCCGGTCCCCTTTCCTTGTTCTCAGATGCCACCTTATGTGCCTTCCCATGTGACACCAGGAGATGGATGCTGTGGCATGGACGCCCAGGGCTCCTGGGTGCCGACCCGGCCTCCTGCTGGTGTCCAGTGCTTCTGGGAGAAGAGCAGCTGGTGCGGAGGGGGGGTGGCATCCTTGGGGTCCGAAAGCTGAGTGCCTGCTGGGGGATCGGGGTACTTCCGCTGGAAGGGGACCCACCGCTTTGTGGTCACTGGTGCGGGACACCTGGTACAAGGCTGCCTTCCCACTGGGTCAGCACCATGCCTGTGTGGTGTCTGCGGTCAATTAGAATTAAAACGCTTACAGTTTCCTTGCTTTTTCACACTGGCCACGTCTCAAGGGCTGCACAGCCAGGACCCGGGCTGCGGGCTGCGGTACAGGGCGGCGCGGCCGGGAGCCAGCTCCCTCGGTGATAGAGCTTTTCCCGTGCAAGGCCAACTGAACGCACTGTGTCCGTGGAGCGTGCGGTGTCCTGCAGCCACAGTGCACGGCACACGCAAAACTTCCTTTACCGTCCACACAGCGTGCACACGTGAAAGTGGCTCTTCAGTGTCGTGGCTTGTGGCCAGGTTGAGAGAAGTGAGGGGCTATTGATATTTTAAGCAGTGGGCTGGGTATCTTTGTCTGTTTTCCTTTCTCTTGTATGTGATGGTATCAGATGCTGCTGATTAGATATTTAGCATCTGCTCCTGATTAGATATTTAAAGAATATTTGTTAAACTTTGCTTCCATTCTTTCATTTCCAGTTTGAATTTCTACTTACTATTTGTTTGTGATCAACTAAACTCTTACAAATGTTATATTTAGATGAGGTGAACTAAATATGTCACTGCGTATTTAGCCATTAGGATGTAGACTGAAGAATCGTGTTTCTTTAACATGAGCCACATGGATCTGTCGGAAGCGCGCCTTAGTCCTGGGACCTCTTGGGGAGCAGGGAGTCCTTAATACCTGAGGGCAGCCACTCTGCGTTCAGTGTCAGTGCGACATCAATGCTTTGTGCACCAATCCTGCTCAGAACAGCCCTGGCCTTCTCCTTCGGCTCAGAGACGGGTGGAGAACACCTGACCCCTGGGATGCTAAGCCCGCATTCTCTCTCTCTCTCTCTCTCTCTAAATGTCTCTTTCTCCCTTTCTCCCTCACTTGTAAGGTGCTCTCCTGGGAAACTGTGGATCAAGCCCACAAGCTGCTTGCTCTTCCTGCCGACTGATCTTAGCATGAAGAAATGGGGACACAGACGCAAGTCGGGGTGCTTACTCAAACACAATTGAGTTTTGTTACAATTTTAGTGTAAAACTAAGGCATGGGGCCACTTGGAAAATTAAAACAAACAATGACGCCTCACTTGCATGTGTTTTTGTTTTCTTTTTGGAGTAGATGAGGACTTTTGTTTTGGATTTTATTTTTAACATATGGAGACAGTTTGCATTTGAAGTTTCTGTTGTCTGTAAATTCCCCCACAGAAAGATAGAAATTCTCTTCAAAATAATAGGAAAGTGGTCCTATAAGAAGGAATGAAAGGAAGTTGGAAACTCTCTGTGAGCCCCGGGAAGGGTGAGCTTGCTGCTGAGAAGGTGCAGGAGGTGGCAGTGTGCTCTGCGGGGCCCGGGTGCGTTCTGCACCCCCTCGGAAGGGCTCCTGCTGTCACGTAGGAGTACATCTACCCAAGTGCGTGACTTCCAATTCCGTTGCAATGAGGGCATGTGTTTCAAATGCCAGAGGGGAAAATTGTGCTATAATGAAGGCCAGGTGCCTATTGGTACAGTTTTAATTTGTTTAACTCAACATCTAAGCACTCATTAAATGATAACTATTTTTACCCCGATTTGGCAGCCGGTCAGGAAAGAGTTCCTATCATAAATCGTTCATGTCAGCGTTCTAAGACAAGACCCCAATGTAATGTGCAAGAAAGAAACTCTGTATTCTTGAGACGTGTATTTATTTTTAACTTATTTTTAACTGTATGCTTATAATTTAAGTCACAAAACAGTCTTGTCTGATACTCTCTCTTTCCATAATTAGATCTCGTCATATAATAAGCACTTGGCTTAGCCGCCCCTCGTTCCTTCCTGAGCAGCTCCTTCGCAAGGTTCGTCGGAGAGCCAGCACTTAGGAGAAAGCGAGCTCAGTCGCTCAGGGGTGGCGGAAGGAGTAGGAACCCACAGTGCGGGGTGTTACCGGGCAGGTGGGAGTTAAGAGAAGCAGCGCTCGGAAAGCGGCCAGGACGCCTCCTCCAGGAGCAGGCCTGCGGAGGTGACTCCTGGCACACTTTACCTTTTGGCCGCCTCAGGGCTCCTGGCTCACCTGGATGACACTTGCTAGTGGAAGGGGTTTCCTGTGCTGTTCTGCTGTCCTTCTTCGCACGTCCTTTAGACCTCACACTGTCACTCTCCCTTGGGATCCCATTTGCTGTGTCCAGCCGGGCAGCCAGCTGAAGCCCCGTCGGCAGGCGTGACCGCGGCGTGGGAGATGGAAGGGCAGGTGCCCCAGGGCTTGTCCCTCCCCGCGGCATTGCCCTGTCCGAGTTGCTCCGCTCTCACACCTCGAAGGAGAGTGTAAATACTGAGCTGCTTTGTAAGTGTGGTGCCGCTGTGTTACTTAAACTACCGATGAAGGCGGTGTGGTGTGGCTCTGCAGGGTGCGTGACTGCTGCTGGTGCCACATTCCAGTGCAGCGGCACACTCTGCTTCCGTGAGCGCCCACCTCAGCTCAGGTATTCGTCAGCATGAGAGAAATGTATCGCCTTTCCAGCGTTACTGCGTGATTTCAGCTGTTTTCCGTCTCAGTCTACTTGCCTAGGGATGTTTCCTCCTCACCCTCTTCCTCCTCAGCCCCTCCCCACCTCTGTGACACTGACCCTGGCTAAAGAAGCAACTACGTCCTCTTCCCACGTGAGGAATGGTCGTCTACATTAGAGACGCTTTTATTTTTAATCTTTTCGAGAGAAGGTCCTGCTATGTAGCCCAGGCTGGCCTTGACCTTGCTGTGTAGCTGAGCAGACCTCAAGCTTGCTATTCTCCTGCCTCAGCCTCCCATGCACTGGGATTATAGGTGGGCTCCCACCTGCCTGGCTCCATATTAATGACTCTTAAATGTGGATACTTATGAGACTTCGCTGTACGACTTTATTTTTGGTCTGTATGTTTAACATGCAGCTGAAGACTGTCATGCACTTTGTTGGCATTGGATTCAGGTTTTTGTAAATTCAGAAGTTCTGTAGATCTTCGCTGACACCCAGGCCATGTCAGGGGTCTGCCAGGGCTGTGCCCCACTGCAGCCTCCTCTGAGGTTTCCGGACACCCAGGTGAGGGCCCTCCTTCGCACATCTTGGTCCTGCACCTTCATGCTGATTGGCATTGAAGAGTCGGTTCCCTTGCACTTTCGTGTTGTTTGGTGCCAGGATTCTTTCAGCATCATAGAATTAATAATGCCTTGTTTTTATCACTTTGCTAAAATCATAATCTCACATTTACAAGATATTTTTCCCCAAGGGATTTCTAAAAAAGAAATCATATTAAATAAAACCCAGAAGTTAACCTGCAATCTGAGAAGGGTTTGTGACCCATCTGTCCAAAGCTTGGTGGGGGTGGGGTGGGGGGTGTGAGAGGAAGGCTGCAGGGAACCTGCTAGGCTGCCCAGTGAGGGTTAGTTAGGAAAGCAATGATTTAAAAGTCTTACAGGGTTTTCTAAAGTTAATTTTTATGTCATTTTCTACCTCCATTCCAAAGTTGGGATGTTAGGAGTGTCAAGAGTCCATCAGAGTTTTACCCAGGAAAGGAGGGAAAAGTAAACATCAGAAGAGGAAGCTGGGCACATACCTCCTTCCTCCTGCTCCAAGGCTTCTCCCGCAGGCCGGCTGCACTGATAGCGCCACACCCTGCATGCCCGCAGACGCCCCTCTGCCGCAGGCTACTGTGGAGCTCTCTGCACTGTGCTTCCACCTGCCCCTGTGCATTTCAAGGAAAGATTTTCAGTGCTCCTGGGGCTCCCCGCAGTCACAGCCCTGGCAGAGCCTAAGACAGGGCAGTGCTGTGTTTCACACTTCTCAACAATTTTTTTCTTTTGTTTTGAAACCTTGTCTTCTGCGTGTGCTTCCCGACCACTCAGCCTGGCTCTGCGCTGGCCCCCGTGCTCCCCACCTTCAACCTAGGGTCCTGTCTGCGTTTGCAGCAGCCGCGATCTCTGTCTTCTTCCCTTTAGTCAAGAGATTACTTCCGGGCTACTACCAGCCAATTACAGGTCCACGCTACATAAACCAAGACTTTGGTCTTTAAATGAGGACTGAGACACATACATTCCTTTGGCACTGATACCTTGCAGAGGGGTATTTTGTATTGAAATTTTTACTGTACGTATATTATGGGTACCTGTCCATTAATACATGTACGTCATTCTCAGAAGCACATGATGTGCTAGGTTTTCTATCAGCCTCATGCTTATGGTCAAATAACGGTAAGGGCAACCTTAATAATGAATCACATCATTGAGTGCTTCTTAGATGCTGAGTGCCTGACAGGCATCAGCTCACCATATCAGCTATTCTGCAGTGTCCTCACATGGGGAGCCGCATGTTGCATGTGAGAAAGCAGACCTAGAGAAGAGGAATGGTTTGCCTGAAGTTACATTTACAGCAAGCGGCAGAGACAAGATATGAACCCAGAAAGACTGTACGCTGTAGATGACCTGAGCTCTACTATGTGTTTTCACTTATTTTCCCCTGGGACACTTCCACAAAATGCAAAAGAGCACCACATATGTCAAACTACAGAATTTATGTATATTTCCTTCCCTAAGCTCTTTATAACAGGCCACAATGATGCTGAGGCGGGAGCATCGCCACAAGTTTAAGGCTAGCCCAGGCTACATAGTGAGTTCAAGGCCAGCCTGACCTACATAGCAGATCCTGCTGCCACCAAGCACAATTCTCGATTTGAAAAGACTTTCAAGTAGAGTAACTGCACGTTTTCGCCAATAGTGGGCTACCTACAACACACTGAGCATTGTATAAAACAGTGGTCCTGAGAGGTTATGTTACTGGGGCAACGAGGCCATGCTGGCTCAGGTAATTACATTGTATTATGCTTGCAGGACAAGGGTAAAGCACCTAACAGTGGCTTCTCAGAGCACATCGCTGTCATTAAATGGTGCAGTATGGTGAGGCAGCGCAACTGCAGCAGCTCCGAGTTCCTCCAGGCGTGTCGTCACCCTGCTCCAGAATTCCCACCGAGCTTGTTCAGTGCCTCTTCTGTGTTTGTTTATTTACACATCTTATGGCCTACAAGGAACTCTTTTTAGTCTATTGCTCACTGTGTTATGTGCAAAAGACATTGGTACTATTACAGTCAGACTGTTTTGATGTTTTAATTTATAGCTTTTTTCCTTTCAAACAGGAGCAAAATTTATTGGAACTTTCCCCATACCAGACACCTACAACCCAGATGATGATAAAATATATTTCTTCTTTCGTGAATCATCTCAGGAAGGCAGCACTTCTGACAAGGCCATCCTTTCGAGAGTTGGAAGAGTTTGTAAAGTAAGATATTTTTATTTATTTTATTTCAGGCATTATATATATATATATGTATATATATATATATATATATATATATATATGAAACCATAAACCATGCAATGTGGAAATAAAAATGACTATTATTTAAAATTTGTAGGATAGATTCATACTATCATATTTGTGTGATGTTTGAGACCCAAAAGTGAAAAGAGAAAAAAAGGATTGTGATTCTCGATTCTCAGACACTGCGGTCTGTTTTCCAGTGCCGGCACGGGTGCCCCTGAGCAGTTTATCCTTTCACTGCAGGGTTTCCCCAGCAAGGTCACCGCATTGCCCAGAGCCAGGGGGGTAAAATGTTTTTATAGAATCTTAAACAATTGTTTTTTAAAACTGAAAGGAACTTTTCATATAATCAATAGGTAGCCTAAATATTAACAAAGTCACATCCTGTGTTTTTATCAAAACACAGACCTCACATGTGAAATTATGTATCTTTACAAGGACCGTATGAATTTAAAACATGGTCATTTGTTTCACCATATTAAATACTTTCTAGACCATTAATCTCTGTTGGGTTCTGAGAGAAAATAAAGAGGGAAAGCACATACCCCAAGACACTGCAGCTTTTTCAGTAATGTCCTTTCATGCAAGTTGTATTAGATGCAGGACCTAGGGGGTCCTTCTGCTCTGTGTGTCAGGCTTTTGTTGGGTGGAACATGAGCTCTAAAAAATAACACTGCTACTGGAGCCAGACTTCTGATCTTGGGATATTATTGTTTAGTTTGGATTTGTCCCCACTGAAATAACCTTTCATGAATGGACAGGTACATGCATCGTAAACACAGTCACTGAGGGCAGGCGCTGTTAAGCTCATAAACACTCTCCACGGGAGGCTTGCTGTGGTCCTGTGCAAGCGTTTCCTTTTCTTCCATGAGCCTGTCCCTTTTCTTCTCAGTCTGTGCCCTCGGGCTCCTGAACACCTCCAGGGATGGAAATAACAAACCATCGCTGCCCTGTGAGGTGCTAATGCCAAGGTGGCTTTTGTAGGCGGCCACCTTGTGAGAGAGCCCAGAGCCCTCTTCACCAGCTGCCCTGGCCACTGTTCCATGGCACCCTTGCCCCGGGAAAGGCGGTCCCAAAGGTATCCTCCTGCCAGCCGTCTGAGGAGGAGCAGCAGTTTTTCCCACAGCCTCTCCTGGTATGGAGGCTGGTGTGGGGTCGTGTGTCAGGGCATTGGGGCTCCGGTCTCCAACAGCAAGGGACCTGCACTTTGACACTCTCTGTGTAAGTGAGCTGTGTTGCACAAGTCCAAGTTGTAATGTGTTACAGTCAACTAAATGTATCTCAAGGTCACCCACATAGCAAGTAAGTTTGCTATCTGCCAGGCACTCCATGGCTCATTTCCTGATGGTTCTGACCCACTAGATAGTGAGTCACTCATATTCAGATGAGACAAGAGCTTTTTTTTTGGAGGGGAAGGTACCAGGAATTGAACTCAGGACCTTGTGCTTGCCGGGAAGGTGCTTATGCCACTGAGCTATATCCCCAGCCCTAGTCATTCATGTTCAAATAACACTTTTATCCGCATAAGTATAATCTTAAAGGTGAAGAAATATCTTCAAGTGTAGCTGAATCTTTCATAAATGTCTGTATTGAAAGTATCACTGGACGCTCAGCACCAGCCATGAAGGATTTCTTCGAAGGCTGAGCAAACTCCTGCTGAACAGAAGGGCAGAGATATTCAGCAAATGAGTCTCCCTGCCCAAAACAGTGAGACCACACAGGAAGGCTTTGTCCTGCTGTTCTTCTTGGTTACAAAGCCAGTAACCTGTGAGATCAAAGAAGCACACATGACAGGTAAATTTGCACGAGGGACTGGGGTGCCTCGCTTAGCGTGTTTGCTTAGTCACTACCAATGGTTCAGGAAACACCATCATTGAAGCTGTTCCCTGTGAGCATGACCCCGTGGTCTAAGGTTCCTAATATCTTATTCTAAACACTTTCAATACAGATTCTTATTTGTAGCACAACTGGTCCATGTTTCCAAATTTTACTTAGTAATTTAGGATTAAACTGTACAAAAACTGAACACTTCCAAGTGGAGATGTCGATAGCATTGATCTGAAATCAAATCTTCATATGTGTAGGTATAGATATAAGTATATAGGTGTGTCCTACGAAACAATGACACATTTAGTAGCGATTGGAACAGCTGAGTCACACGGCGGTTGTGCATTACTTTCACATACAGACGCTCCTGACATTGTGCGAAAGTTATTCCTCTCTTCACTTCCTTTCCTTTTACCCTCAAAAGTCATCACAACATTTTCTCCACTTTTAAAAAATAATAATAGAATGCGTGTACATTATGAAAAAACGATTGAGCCTGACAGTTAAAAGAAACTGTTGAAGACAGAAGAGACCATGTTAGAGAGAGGCAACACTGGTGCTTTCCTGAGGTACCACGCTCTTTTTGTAACTTGGGGTTCTTTGCCTTACCCGTTGGCCCCACCATTTCTCATGGTCATATTTGGAAATACTCAGGTTTAGATCTTTCTGTTATTGTTGTTTGCTGTCATTTTTAGCTGAATATTTAGGCTCAGTGAAAAAATGCTGACAATTTAGGAATTCTCTGCCTCTTCAGTTACTGAGCTAAAATAATTGTGTTGATCTGTGGCAAACTGTACTTTTTGAGATCTACCAAAAATATTAAGAGGCTGAATGGATTACAGAGATTGGTGGGGAGTTTTAGTACTAGGCAAACATCACCCAAAAAAACGACTAAAGGATTGTAATTCATTCATTATTTCCACAGTAGCAACACCTCACCAAATAACAGTGTGAAATGTGGTGCACTAGGCGGGTACTGCAGATAATAAGCCTCAGGATTTTTTTTTCTGAAACCTCAAGGTATCGTGAGGGTACGAGATACATGCAACATGTGATCAGAGTACACGGTAAATGTTTTAAGTTTTTAAAAATTTGCTACAGCAAAAGCCACATTGTCATTAATCCCTCTCAAAGTACTTCCCCTTGTTTCCAGTGGACTATACTTACCCCTTTGTTATGGTTTGTGTCTGGGTGTCCCCCATAGCCTCATGCAGTCATGAGGCGGGCTTCTAGAGTTTATGATTGATCCATGATCCAGTACTGGGATTATGAGTGTGAGTGCTACACCTGCCCTGGGGTGGGTAATTTGCATATAGTATCAGGGAGGGAAAGAACCTTGCTCCCCACCTACTCCTCCCTTTTGCTCTTGTTGCTTTTGGTGTTTTCTGCCACCATGAATGGTTGCCTTGTGCCATGTGTCACCCTCCCCTGGAGCCAGCTGTACATAGACTGAGGTCTTCACAGACTGTGAGCTAAATAAACATTTCTTCCTTAATTTTGGGTGTTGGGTATGTTGTCTCAGCAATGAGAGAAAAGTAACTAAGACACCCTTCATTCTCCCTACTTTCTGAAGTAGTTCTGGATTGCTCTTTCATGAGTATCTTTATGAGGTGTGGTCAGAAATACAGGGAATGCTGCTGCTGCATGCCCTCCAACAGAAAGGCAGCTCATAAAACAGAACAGTGTGTCCTCATCCACCGTATTCACCGGCTCTGACACCCTGTTACTTATAGCTCTTCCCCAAAGTCAAAATGACCATGAAAGGGAAAGGTTTCAAAACATCAAGGCAGCCATACAGGGTACAACTAAAGACCCTCAGGAAAGAGGAACTCCAGAGATGCTGCTGCAAGTGTCAGGAAACATGGGATAAGTACGTTCAAAGGGGAGAAGGTATTTTTAGAGGGGTCAATGGCAACGTGTCTTTCAGTGTAATACATTTTAAAAATTTAAACATTCACCGTATTCTTCGATTGCCTTTGTAAACAGATAATCATAGCACAGTGTGGTAGATGCAGAACCCACTGGGAACCTCAAGCATTCATGGAACTCAGAGCATTGTGCTAAGGAGGGGGAGGACCACATGGAGGACAGGCATTTTGGAGGACAGACCAGCATTGTCAGAGAGGGTTTTGCTCACAGAATGTGAAATCTCACAACTATAACCCACGGAGAATGTGGGAAGTGATCTCTTCTGAGTTTAGAGTGGTAAAGTGTACCATAGAAAGCCTTCCTTCCATGTGGGCAAGTGTGAACCCTGTCTTGCAGGAAATGAGTTATTTAATGTTTAAGGCAAAGAACTAACAGGATAGGTAGATGTATTTGGAAACAATTTGAAGAATGTGACAGCATTAAAAATACTTGTGACTAGGAGTCTTATTAGGTCCAAAGATAATAGGAGTAGGGAGATAAAGTTAAGTTCAAGAGATTTTTCCAGTAAATTCTATGCATTTGCAGATTTCTAAGTGGTCTTTCCTTGGCATTCTTTGATTAATTCCTTTGTAGAGACTCACGCTGTCTGGTGGAGTGTCTGAGATGATGGTCGTGGTCTCTCTACGTACCCACCACAGTGGCCACATGACTGTTAGCGCGAGTGAGGGCCAGCAGGCCTCAGGGCCTGAACGTTCAGTGCCTTCTACTTCCTCTGTGCTTCCTTCCAGGAGGGGAGATGCAGCTGGGGGACCATCACTCCTGTATTCCTGACAGTTGTTCTTTCTAGAAGATTAAGAAAATGCACAAAACAACACATTTTGATGAGATAGGAAACAGCACTGCTTAGGGACCTAGAGTTTACATTTGGGCATGAATTTGGTGGGCTTTAGGATATGCTGACACACTTGAAATGGAACCTGAGGCTCGGTTGTGCCTGGAGTTATACATTAAGAAATCACCATGAGCTTGGCATCATTGCACTGTCTGAAATTGCTTAGGAAGCTTTGTCGTATGAGGTCAAAGGCAAAGATAGAACCCGAGGGACCACAGTGCTAGGAAAGAGCAAATTGCCCTCAAAGACAGTTGAGGAGAAACTGGCAGCCTGGTGTGCCTGGGAGGGCGTTGTCACACCTCAAGAATAAAGGCCACTTGAAGAAGAAATTGATTTTGCACACCAGGAAAGAGGCCAGACGGTTATGAGT